GCATTGTTGTGGTGGCTACCTCAATGTCCTGAATCAATCCAAAACATTTCTCTTTTGTGGTCACTTTGACTTTAAGGAAGAGCCAGAAGTCACATAATGCCATAACTAGGGAATAAGGGAGAAAGGACCCACTATAACGATTTTATTGACAGAAATTGCCGCACATGTTGAAATAGATTCACAACACTGAAGCAGCCACAAAAAGACATTCATGAAAGAGGACTTCCAGCACTGGTTCAGGAAGTAACAGACACATTGCCATTAATCCCCCTCATAATGCTCCCCCTCTGTTTAAAACTTCTCCTATTGTTCTTGCTACTTTCTGGTCCTCATCCACCTTATTCACTACATCTCACACCATGTGACTTTTGTCCTTACCTCTGTCTTTGCATACTTACTTAGTTTTATTTGCTGGAGAGGAAAGTATAAAGCAAGCAGAAAAGGTAACTACCTTTTATAACCTTAAAAAGCCTGAAAATAAGATAACACTTGTAATAACACCTTTGGCTCATCTCCTTCATTCGTTCAGCCTCCTGTACTTGAACAACAGGCAGGGTTGCACTTTTTAGGTAGTCAGCACTCAACCTGCCCTACAATTTAATCTGTGGAGTCTGATTGTCCTTGGGATGGTTTATGAGCCAGCAAGAGTAGCAATCATGAAGTGCCAAATGCTATCCTAAATCATTTCCAACAGATTCCTTTTTAGCTCAGTGGTCCAGAGGATTAGGTTTCAGTCTCAAGCAGCAGTGGAATGACTGTGAACTATATGTAGTCTTCAAAAAGCACTCAAAAGAGAGGAGAGCTTAAGAATGAAGTCTCTGTAATGTATGAATGTAAATTGCCATGACCTTTCAGTTATGAATTAAACTTTTGTAATTATTTACTCAGTAAGTATATAGTTAAATATTATTATCGCACAACTGCTTGTAATTAGAAACACTGTTTATATTATGCCTATTTCCAAGAGAACATTTAGGTCATTATGATTATTTTTCATCCAGTTTCATTTTGAAATCACTCTTATAGAACACACCTATACAAACAAGTTCTTTCAGCCCTTCATGGACATGCGACTTAGAGTTAGATAGCTCTGAAATTTGGGACCTTTTGAGAAATAGCCACGACCATCTTGACTAGCACTAGTGGCCCCCAAGAAGCTCAGATGATGTTGGTGGCATGCCTCAGTGCAAGATCAGTTTTCACAGATATCACTCTGGTCTCTTTTGGAAGAGGAATATGAAGTTTTACCACCTAAAGAAAAACTAAAACTTGTGCTTCTCAACAGAATGGTCAAGGTGTGATAAAAAATAGGGTAAAATTTATATAAAAAGTTATAAAAGATAATTATTTTTCACGCTTTGAATTTTCCTTTCCATCAAATAAACAATTGATTCTCAAACAGAAGCATTTGGCAAAATTTTGCTTTTGGTTGCAAATCTGCATCAGGTGACAAAATAGATCATGGCCATCTTTCCTGCATGAATATGAATGTGGCCATTTTTTCCAAAATTGTGGAATGAGTTAAGTTTGTGAACCAAGATACCACTGTAAGTATGCAAAGATGAAGGGACAGACAGACCCATTATAACAATTACTAGAAACACTTGGTAAGCATTTTCAAATATTTTTCTCCCCAGATTCTGACATGCCTCCTTAGAGTTGGGGGAATCTTCTTAGAATTTGGGGAAGAGCCAGAAGTTGTGCCACTTTTAATAGTTAATTCACTCAGTAAATATTTATTGAGCACTTTCTAGGTGGTAGGAGCGTTACCATAGTTTGGAAAGTCAATGAGCAGTATCAGGCAGACAACTTCCTTATGGAGTTCAATCTGGAGGAAGTGAGAGAGAAGTCAAACATTGATCATGTCACCATTCAGGGAATTTACAGCTATGGAGGACAGGTGGTAGTAGTGGGAGTGATTGTTTCTCAACTGTGAAAGGGTGGGGTGGTGGGAAAAGCTTCCACACACAGGAGAGACTGTCAGTTTTTTTGTTTGGTGCTGTGGGTTTTTTTTTTTTTTTTGTCTTTTTTTTGAGACAAGGTCTCGCTATGCAGTTCAGGCTGGTTTTGAGCTCATTTTGTAGCCCAGGTTGGTCTCAAACTAGAAATGATCCTCCTGCCTCAGCCTCCCAAGTGCTGGAATTACAGGTATGTACCACCACACCCGGCCAGTGTTTTTTTTTTTTTTTAAACAGGTTCTTGCTGACTGGCCTTGAACTCACTATGTGGCCTAGGCTGGCCTGGAACTCCCAGCAATCTTCCTGAGACATTGTGATTTGAAGGAAGCTGTGAAGGACAAAACCTACCTGAGGAGGGAAGGTGGCCTGAAATGCTGCTGTGATGTTGGCTGAAAGTGGTTGCTCTCCTCTCCTTCTGGAGTTGGATTCCAGATTCTTTTCATCTTGAACAAAGAACTGAACTAAATGAGCAAAAAGCAGTAGCAAAGTTTATTTGAAAAAGTAAAAGCGAAGAATGAGGGAGACACTGGCTCTCAGCACAAGCTTGGGCCAAGTAAAATGGGGAAAAGCAAGATAAAAAACACCCTGGAGAAAGCAGAGTGGGCCATCATGAGGAAAGCCACGACAGTGGGATCCTTGGGGCATCCGCATCCTAACATGTTGTTCAAATCTCAGGTAAACCCAGGAGAACTTCTACATTTTGGTCCTGAGAGGCAGTGCTTGGATCCCACACCTCAGGTTGACTTTAGGTCTAGGCCATCCTATTGCAAACCTGCTTGAAGTTTTGTAAGAAGGGCTTTGGGAACTGTTCTGCCTGTGTCTAGAATCTCGTAATTAACAGGTTATGTCTACTTCACCAGTCAGCTTTGCCACGCCCTAACCTCCTGTCTCAGCTGGAGAGGTTGGAAGGAGCTCAACTGTGGAAAGCCTTGTAGACATCACTGAGTTTTTATCCTTTCATAGTGGAGGGTGAAAATAGCAGAAACCACTGCCTAAACCACTTTTTAAAATACTGAACTGATTAAGAGTAAACTTTTCCTCTGTACCTTTAGTCTTTTTTTTTCCTCTCAAATGTAGATTGAAGAAAACTCATGACATCAGCACTGGTTAAGTGTTCCGTGATTTATACCACTTCCTCTAAAGATTTTAATTGCTGGCCACGACTCTTACTTTGCACTGGTAGAATTTCTGTGCTAATCTAGTCCCACAGTTTTGGAACTGAATGATTTCAGATGTCATCTAATTGAACTGCATCTCTAAATAAATTTAAAGCATTTTAAACCATATACATGAGAGGCATGGTGGTGCACGCCTGTAATTCCAGCACTTGGGAGGCTGAGGCAGGAGGATCATTGTGAGTTCGAGGCCAGCCTGGGCTACAAAGTGAGCTCAAGGCCAGCCTGAACAGCATAGTGAGACCCTGTCTGAAAAATACTATATATATATATATGTACAGTTAATGCTTTAAAAATGAGTTCTTGTTAAAACTGATTTAGAATTTCTGCCTGTGTGATAATGGGGATTGAACCCAGGGTCTCAGCACTGAACTATGTCTGCAGCCCTTTTTACTTTTGAGACAGGGTCTATCTAAATTGCCCAGGCTAGCCTCAAATTTGAGATCCTTCTATTTCAGCCTGAGAGTAGGTGGGATTATAGGTGTGGGCCAACACGCCCCGCAGACTAGACCTTTTGTTGTATATATTAACTGTTCCTCTAGGCCAGAACTCCAGATCTGTCAGACTCCCATGGTGGTTGGGAGAGTAATTTCTTGGAGATCTTCCTATGGGTCTTGAGGTCAAACCTTTTTTTTTGGAAATAGTGTTTCCTTGAACTCACTATGTAGCACAGGCTGGCAATACATCACCATTCCTGGCAAAACTATTTCTTTTCTTTTCTTTTTTTTTTTTCCTTTTTGAAACAGGGTCTCACTATGCAATTCAGGCTGTCCTTCAATTCAGTTTGTAGCCAGTCCAAGCTGGCCTCGAACTCGCACAGATCCTCCTGCCTCAGCCTCCCGAGTGCTGGAATTACAAGCATGTGCCACCAGCCCTGGCAAAACTACTTTGTTAATACTAACAGGTTACTTGCTTTTTTATTCTCATATCAAAAAGATGGTGTGGTGTTCTGAGCTATGTGAAAAGGGACATTAACATACAGAAGAGCAGCTAGACAATCCAGTTGTCTTCCATTGTGTGGCACCAGACTTCTTACTACATTTTCTTTTAGTTTTGAAAAGTTACTTTTCATAAAAGTGCTACTTTGACATTTAATGTACTAGTGAATTTTAAAAATTTAATACTAATACAATAAATACTTATATAACCTATGGACACGAAAGGGTTCTTAAATTTCTGGGAATGTAAAAGAATCCACGATGCAATCCGTACTTAAACAAACGTGGACTCCTGGGGCCCGCCCCAAAGCTTCCTGCTTTCCAGCCTCCAGACCTTTCCCTTGGGCAGCGGTTTTCTCTGCCCAGACGGAAAAACTTTTTTATTTCTACCTGCCAAATTCCTACCCCTCTGACAAGAGCTTCCAAACTTCAATCTGGCCCATTCTCATCCCTGATAGGGAACATGCTGGCCTCCCTTTAACGCTGCACCTTTTCACAGCGTTGACTGGCTTTTTTTCTTTTTGAGACAGGGTCTCACTATGCAGTTCAGGCTGGCCTTGAGCTCACAATGATCCTTCTGCCTCAGCCTCCCGAGTGCTGGGATTATAGGCGTGCACCACCACGCCCGGCTCACAGCGTTGATTGAGACGAGAGCTGGATATGGGGATTTCCCGACCAGGCTGCGCCTCCCAGCACAACACGGCACAGCCACCGTCTTCCCGAAAAGAAGCAGTGCCTGGACCTAACTGGGCGGGTCGGCGTCGGAAGGGCAATCGGGAAAGGAGACGGAGAGAAGCGCAAGAAGCATCAGTGCATGCACACCGACCCAACACAAGCACCCACGCCCGCCGGGGCTTCCGGGCGCCACCCTTAACCCCGCGAGGGGTGGAGCCACGCGCCGCAGAGGGCGTGGCCACCAGCCCGCGGGAAAAGGGCCGTCGCCGCATGCGCGCGCTCAGTCGGCGGGCACGCGCAGCACGCTTAGGGCGCGGATGGCGGCGGCGGCTGGAAGCGGGACGCCCCGGGAGGAGGAGGGGCCCGGAGGGGAAGTAGCAGCCCCGCAACCCCAAGCCCCGACGAGCGGGCCCGGGGCTCGTCTCTCCAGGCTGCCTCTGGCGCGAGTGAAGGCCTTGGTGAAGGCGGACCCCGACGTGACGCTCGCGGGACAGGAGGCCATCTTCGTTCTGGCGCGAGCCGCGGTGCGGCGGGAGCGCGAGGGCTCTCGGGGAAGGGAGAGCGTGGCGCGCGCGGGGGGCGGGGCCTCCAGGGGGCGGGGCTTGCGGAGGCGCCGGAAGTGAGGGTGCTAGGGTCGCGTTTAGGGGCTGACAAAAAAGCTAAGGAGAGGAGCCTCACAGTGATGGTTGGGTGGGTTAATCACCGCCCTCCTTGCGAGGGCTGGTTAGTCTCTAGTTTGTCGCATGGCTCGCATGGTCACGTTGGAATGTAGTGAACGGACAGGATGGATTTACAAGTAACTGAGGATGGAGGTGTCATTCTGGCTTAATGGAGAGTGCAGGGCAGAACCACCTTCATGAAGTCCAGGGCAGCTTTGGCCCCAGAACCTCTCCGTGTGCCTGAATCCACTTCCTTTCCCCAGTTAAGACAGGAATGCTCACCCCTCAGTGGCCTAGAGCCCATTGTCATTCCTCTGCTTGTTTGCTTTACAGGAACTGTTCGTGGAGACCATTGCAAAAGATGCCTACTGCTGTGCTCAACAAGGAAAGAGAAAAACCCTCCAGAGGAGAGACTTGGGTAGAGTGTCACTGTGGTATCCGGGGGTAGACAAGGAGGCCGACTGGGCCAGGCTTACCTTTTGCAGGCTGAGGAGGCATCACTGTGAAAATTGAAGTTTGGTTTGTGATAACGTTTTTGTCTAGCTGGTAACCCGTGCACATGTGGAAACTTTGATGTACTATATCCCACACTCTCTACCATGTTGCCAAACTCTTCTCTGATACTCAGAACAAAGAGAACAATTGAGTTGAGGTGTAAGACCTCAATTGTAGGAGGGTTCCAGCTTTCCCTGTAATTGAATGGTTTGTCTGGGCTTTTCTTACCCCTGTAGAGCGACAACAAATATATAGGGGTTAGTGGTGGAGTGGGAATAGATGTGTAGACAGCGAGGAACATACTGATATAGCCCCATGCCTTTTATTGTGTGGATTACTGTGTTTGAGGGCTGATGTTCACATGACCAGTGTTAGTAAGGTTTGCCCTTACCTTGTGTTTCAGATAATGCAATAGAAGCTGTGGATGAATTTGCTTTTCTGGAAGGTGAGTTCCCTACGAGGGGGCAGTTATTTCCACTGGTCCTTTTCATGCTATGATGTGAGTTTGAAAATATGCCTGGTTCTTTCTTGTTTGTATAGGGATAATTCTCTTTGCCTCCTCTTGGGATAGAAAAAATTGACTTGCCTCATCTAGTGAGATTCAGTTTCTACCCTTGGGTAATTAGAACTTCTACTGGAAAATTGCCAACCATAAAAAAGTGGGAGGAAATACAAAAAACTGGTAGAGTTAGTTAGATTCAAAAGTTTGAATTCAAACTAGGTTTCTATCCCTAAGTATAAATCTTACCCCACCATCATAAAGTTAGAGGCCAGAAACAATTGTCAGCATTTAAAATGTCACCTTTTTTTTTTCTTTTTGTCAATAGCTCACATAAAGTGGTTATTTTGCTGTAGGAATATTATCCATTTGCTTATATCTGTTTGTTCTTAGAAATTTTGGGTTAAGTTGGGTTCTAACTGAATCTTGTTGAAATAACAAATATTTGAAACATTCCCTTAATTAACTACCTTCTGTCAGCTAGGTTTGCTGTTTAATTCCTAAATCTTACTCTTGAATATATATAAACTGATTGAGTAGCTTTTTTTTTTTTTTTTGTTCTTTTTGAGACAGGGTCTCACCATGCAGTTCAGGCTGGCCTTGAGCTCACTTTGTAGCCCAGGCTGGTTTCCAACTCGCGATGATCCTCCTGCCTCAGCCTCCCGAGGGCCGGGATTACAGGTGTGCGCCACCATGCCCAGCTCTTGAGTAGCTTTTGAAAGCCTTGTGCCCTCAGTTCATTCTCACCTTCACCCTAAGGGGGTGTTTTCATTATCTCCTTTAAGCATCATGACCATCCTAAGTCTCTTCTTCATTTATTTCATTCTTTTTACTGCTCTATTCTGTGTCTGTCAACCTAGGCAGGTGGCACTTTTGAGATACTCTTCTGAGTGTCTTTTAAGATACATTCCCATGGTAGGCTCCAAGCCTAGATTATTGAGAATTCTCTTACTTGTAGATCTTTGTTAAGCATCTTAGTTTCTACTAATTTTTCTTAAACATAACTTCTGTTATTGTCCCTTTGTTTTATAGCCAAGGGTGTAGTCAGCGTTGACAGTGTTCTTTGTGTGCTTGAAGAAGTGCATTCTGTAGTTATTGGGTACACTGTCACATTTCATTGTTATGTTGTTCATATTTTTGTGTTACTGAATTTCTTTTGTCTTCCTTTTTTTATCAGTTACGAGAACAGTATGTTAAAAGTATCCCACTGTGACTGAAGATTACTTTGATTTACATTTCTGAGTCTATTTTTCATTATAGAAGACCATGTGATTAGGTGTATACAAATTTATATATTGTTCATAATTGAGTGCTTAATATTTATAAATTGACTATGAGTTTCACTTTGATGGATAGAGATGCAGATTTCTTTTTGTGTCGTTGGCTTGGGCTCTTAAAACTGGTCTGACATCCTTCATATGCCTTGGAAATTCTTTACCAGTATCTCTTCAGAGATTGGCTCTACTTTGTTCTTGCATTCTCCTTTCTCTCTGATTCCTATTAAACGTATATGAAGATTCAAACCAAATTTTGCTTCTCTTTGATTTTCTGACACTTAGTTTAATTCTGTCTTTAGTTCTTTCATCTCCTTTAAACTTTAAAAATTTGTTTTAGTTTCAGTTTTTGTGTTTTTTGATACTGAGAGTTTTATTCGGTTCTTTAAAAATCTGTTTTATTACTTTTTTTGTATTTTCTACAGATCCTTTGAAGCTTGTCTTCTATTTCTTTAAACGTTAAACACAATTGTTTTTAGTCTGTGTCCAGTGTAATATCCAATCTAATATCCATAGCCTTTTGAAGCATTTGTAGTCTGTCCAGTCCAATATCCAATCTTTTGAATTTGTCTTTTTTGTCTGTTGTTTCTCTTTGTACTGTCTTTGTACACTGGTCATTACATTTGAAAAAAATTATCTGTTAGCTAATTTGAGGCTTGTGTAGTGATGACTTTCACCAGAGAAGATTTTGTTTATTCCTGCAAGGCTCCTAGGGGCATTATCAATCTCCTTAATCAGGATATGAGACCTGAAGGTTTCTGGACTATCATGGTGATACACACCCAGAGTGCAGGTCAGTGAGATAATTTTGGTTCAGCCTCACTCTGAGGGTGTAACCTTTTGTAACTCCAGCATAAAAAGGGGGGTTATGGGACCTCCCCACTAGGGCAGAGTCTGATGGTTCCCTCAGCTTGCCAGAGTCACATGACACTTTCTCAGTGCTCTCTTTCAGATGGGCAGATGCCCTCAGGGCAAAAGGGAGCTTTAGAGGCTGGGCTTATTTTGTGTTTATGGCATCCCTGGCCTTTAGATTTGTCTGTTCTTATTACTTGTTCAATAACTGAAAGATTTTCCTTCCTCGTTTGTTTCTTCCTACTTAGCTTTATCATTTGATCTCAGTGGGAACTTGCCATTATTGAATGTGGATGCAATTTTATTTTAAATAAATTAGAAATGTTTCTGTTTTTGCTTTTTCCTGAATTATGTTTTATTCTAGGACTTTTAAATCAATTTTGCTTTCTCCTTTTACTTGTGTAGGCCTTCTTCAAATACCCAGTGATTTTCATTCTGTTTAGAATGAGAGAGTAAGAAGGCTTTGTGGAAGCTGTGTCTGTGTGTCTGTGTGTGCGTATGTGTGTGTATGTGCGTGGTGCAGTAGTAGTGGTAGAGGTGGTTGTTCCCTGGCACCTTTAGTTTAGGGTGGATAGGAGTGGGACGTTATGTTGGAGCTCCCAAAGACCAGACGACGGAATGTTTTAGTGCCAGAGTGGTGTCGTGAGTGGCTTCTCTACTCTCCTAATGATTTACTTGCTCTTTAGAAGATGGCCCTGTGCTTTTATTTTTTCTTCCTTTAGGTTGTACACGGAGGAGGGTTGTGAGGAGAGTGTGGGGGCAGCTGTTTGCATACAGAAACGTGGGTCCTTAACCTGCTTTCATCTTACATCTCTTTGTGTCACTTCTGGTGACTGAGTCTTGTGGTTCTCCTTAGGCAGATGGGCTCCCTCCTGTCCTGCAGCCCTCTCTGTGTTCTTCCAGGCCCATTTTTCTTCCATTTTATTTATAAATCTGCTTCAGATTTTGGTAATACGATTTTTTTTTGAATCACTTACTTGCTAATGGCTCTCCTATTCTCTGTTGAAATTTACACCTTTGAAAAACCTATTTTCCTTATGAATGTAAATGTGGTTGGGATGGCGTACAACGTAGAAGCCCAATCTTAAACTGGAACTTTCTGAAAAGAATATAGCTTAGAGAGATTATTTTATTTATTTCATATCACTCACCCAAAGTATCGTCTCTGTGAATGCTTCTTACCTAAGACATTTCTCCTTAGCCCTTTTCCCACCTCTGATGCTAACTTGTAGATTGATACGCTTCATTTTCAACTGATTGCATTTAGTTATGTCCTGTTTTTCCACAGGTATTTTTTAGATCGCTGTTCCTCAGAATTAGAACTGCTGCCAGTTCAATGCCCCTTGTATTTTAACTTTCCCAATGTGTTACAGTAATCCAGCTGCTGAAATACCTTACTTTACACATTGCTCTTTGTATTTTTAGGTACTTTGGATTGATTGCTGAGCTCAGCAGTTTCGTGAGTCTTCTCTGCATCTTTCAGCTCAGCCCTCTCTGCAGGCCTCAGCTTTGAAGAAGAGTCTCTGTGCACATACATCCTCTTCCTGTTCTACCTTTCCCTGAGCTGGGATAAGCAGAGGTCTCCACTGACAGCTTTTCTCTACCAGGTCTTCCACCCGTGTGTGTCTTCCACATCGGGCCTGGATGCAGCTGCTGCTGCATAGGGCAGAAATTGTTCTGCATAGGCGGCTTAACGAATGGTGAGGACCAGAATAAAGGCCTCTGACCAACTTCATTCCAGTGTGTTTTATAGTCTCCTTTATGATCTCCAGATGATTTGATCTTTTTCTAGAGTCTAATAAATGTAGTCCTACACTGAAAAGCAGTTCAAGTTTTTTCTGACAGTTTTATTGAAACAATTCATACACCGTATAGTTCGCTGATTTAAAGTGAACATGTCAGTGGTTTGGTAGTGTATTTGTGGATATGTGCAGCTCTTACCACAGCGAATTTTTGGAACTTGTTATGAATGGAATCTCATAATGTGTAGTTTTTTGGGTCTGGCTTTTTTCACAATTTTTTTAAGGTTTATTCATGCTATAGCATGTGTAGATAACTCTTTAAAAATTGTGGTAAAAGACACATAGAATTACTGTTTCAGGCATTTTTAGGTATACAGCTTAGTGACATTAAGTATATTCATACTGCTATACAAGCATCACCGTCATCTGTCTCCAGATTTTTAAATCTTCCCGAACTCAAACTCCGTTCTGCTTACATAGTAATTCCTTTTTGCTTGTCCCCTAGGCCCAGGCTAAATTCTGATTTTAGGTGTGGGTGGTGCAGGAAGAAGGCAGAGTTCTTAGGAAGCGATGGTTAAGAAGAGCATAAGAGGTTTTGAGCAGTGGTTGTGAAGAATGTTTGGGTTGTGGACCACTTTGGAGACGCAGCATCCACAGGAGTTTTTGCACAGGTGCTCAGTCCTGTAACATTTAAAAATAAACTTCATTTGAAAATAGGGCTGAGGACCGGGGATACAGCTCAGTGGGACAGCGCCTGTCTGGCAAGCATAAGGTCCTGAGTTCGATTCTTGATACCAGAAAAAAAAGTGCTAAATCTACAGGAAAGTTGTAAAGACTCCTTATGTCTTACCTAGTTTCCCCATTGCTAGCATCCAAACCGTTGTCAAGTACATTTGTCAAGACTCAGGGGCATTTATAGGTTACTATTAACTAAACTTCAGACTTTGAATTTCAGTAATTTCCCTACTAATATCTTTTTTTTCCTGTTCCATGATCTAATCTAGGACACTACATTGTATTTATTTGTCATGTGTCAGTCTCCTCTGGTTTGTAACAGTTTGTGTTTCTCCTCATTTTTGAATTACCTTGATAGCCTTGACTAATACTGGCTAAGTTATCTCGTTCAATGTTCCCCAGCCTGGATTTGTTTTTCTTGTGATTAGTCTCATAACTTTGCATATAAATTTGGGTGTTACATAGGCCCAGGAAGTAAAAGGGCATGAGGGCTTTTTGTCAGAATTACAGGTTGCAGCTGATCAACCTATAACAGGCGATGGCCTGTATAGTGGGATGTCGAATAAATGTGTTGTTAGCAGGATTTTTTTCATACACCAAAATGACCACAGTTAATGGTATACTGCATTTTCTAAAAGAGTGTTACTGTCATTGATACTTCAGAACGTCTACATGATTAAAAACAGTGTTAATTGTCAATTTAAAAAAGTACATCAGTGCTAAATTCTATAAAGATAAGTATTTTAATTTTTGTTTCACTTCTGTTTCTGTACTAGGTCATTGTGTAAAATGCATGTGTTAGGCAGTTTGGGTTCCCATGGCTCTCACCTCCCCCAGTGTAACGTCTATAAAAAAAGACATGGATATAAGCACAGTGACTAGTGAACTCTAAGATAGATTATACTGGATCTTCTGGGAAGGCTCCAAGTAATCACATCATCGTTCCTTGAAAGCAGAGTGCTCTCCTGGGTAGAAAGGGATGTCAAATCCCAATGTGAAAAGGCTGTGACCTGCTGTTACTGGCTCTGAAGATGCCGGGAGCTGGGAGCTTGGGAGCTAAGACGAGCTGCTGGTACAGCCCAGAATGGCGACGGCGTGTATAGAAACAGTCTCAGTCTCACGACTGTACGGAACTGAGCTCTGCTAGTCACCTCTATGGTCTTGGAAATGGATTTTTCCCTGGAGTGTCAGATGAAAAGAGCCCAGACCAGCTGACATCTTCATTTTGGCCTCCTGAGACCCTCAGAAGAGAAGAGTGATACTGTGCCAGACCTCTGACCTGTGGAACTATGAGGCAGTAAATGAGTATTAAGCCGCTAAACTTGTAATTTATTATGTCAGGAATAGAAAACTGCTAGGACATATTTCTTACTTAGAGTCAAGGTTAAAAATTGGAAACTCCTTGATAGGGGTCAGTAGGCTTCAGGCCTGCTACTCTGATTACTTCAGATGATGGGTGAATCACTTGTCCTTCCTGAGATTTCTTTTGTGAGTTGAATGGGTTATCCTAAAGTTTCTCCCATATGACATCTACAGACTTTTTTTTCAGCAAAATGTATCCCTTTAGTGTGTAGCTCTATGAGTTTTAATAAACAGTATGCAGTCATTTTTACAATCAAGATGTATGATGTGTAGTCAAAAATTTGGTGAATGTCTAAATTTTAAAATTATTACAATAAAAGATACATTGCTGTTAATCTCTTTCAAAACACTCCTCACTTTAAAAACGCATTCCATCATTTTTGCCGCTTCTTGAAGCAATGCTGGAAGTCCCCATTTGTGAGTGTTTTGAGTTGTGCTATTGTGACTGTCTCAATGTCCCAAATCAATCAAAAACCTTTACCTTTCATGGTCATTTTTTACTTTGGGGAAGAGTCAGAAATTCCCTGGTGCCAGACCAGGTGAGTCAGGTAGGTAAGGAAATGCCATAGTTCTTTTGTTTGACAGATTTTTGTTTGTTTGTTTGTTTTTTGTTTTTCTTCCGGTACCAGGAATTGAACTCATGACTTTGCGCTTGCCAGGCAGGCACTTTACTGCTGAGCTAAATCCCCAGCCCCTGTTTGACAGATTTGCTGTAAACATTTTGAGTATTCAGAACACTGAAGCAGGAATAAAAGGACATGAAAGAGGACTTCCAGAACTGCTTCAGAAAGTGGCAAGATAATGGGATAAGTGTGTTGAAGTGGGGGGAGTATTTTGAGGAGGCTTAATGGCAGTGTGTCTTATTGTAGTAAAAATTTTTAAGAGTGGGAAGAATTTATTGAGAGAAAGTTTCTGTCTTAAGAGAGGCAGAAGAGGGCCTGGAAAGTGGGTTGCCTATGTAGTAAATTTTTAAATATTCACCATGGGTTTTGGTCACACTGTAGTTTCTCTTATATGAGAGGCACAAAATATAAACAAAGAGCAAAATAAAAGGTAGATAATAGGAAGTAGGGAGGTAGATCTCAAATGGAAAAGGGGTCAAGAGAGGGAGGGAGAGGAGAGGATGAGAAAAGGAATTAAGATGAGTTACGTACATGAACCAACCTCTCACAAAGAATATAAACATCTACAAATGTGCTAATAAAAAAAAAAATGCCTGTTTTTTTTGGTCTTTTTTTTTGTTTTGAGACAGGTTCTCACCATGCAGTTCAGGCTGGTCTTGAACTTAATTTGTAGCCAGGCTGGCCTCAAACTTGCAATGATCCTCCTACCTCAGCCTCCCAAGTGGTGGGATTACAGGCGTGTGCCACCCCGTCCACCTCCAAAAGAATGCTTAATCATGACAAAAATTGCTTCTTGTAATGCCTTTGTAGTCAGCCCCTCCCACTAACGCTACCCCTGGGATCACTGGTGTGTTTATTGTCTCTTTCCAGAATGTCATATAAATTAAACCAAATAACATGTAGCCTTTTGATTCTGCCTTCTTTAATTTAGCATAAGGCATTCAAGATTTACCTATGTTGTGTCAGTAGTTTGCCCCTTTTTATTGCTAAGTAGCATTTCACTGTGTGGGATGTATGTACTACAATCTATCCACTCACCCATTGAAGGATATTTGGGAATTTTCAACGTTTGATAACTATGAAAAAGCCCCTGTAAACATCTGCAGGTAGGTTTTTGTGTGTGTTCTGGTTCTCTTGGGTAAAAATATATTTTGTAAAAATTTAACTTTTAAAAGAAATGCCAAAGTTTTTCAAAGAAGCTGCATTCTACTTAGACAAAGTTTAAGAACTTAAGTTGTTTTCCATCCTTATCATCACTTGGTTTTAACTTTAAATATTAAAATTTATCCACTCTGGCCAGGCATAGTGGCATACACCTATAATCCCAGCACTTGGGAGGCTGAGGCAGGACGATTGCTGCAAGTTCTAGGCCATCCTGGGCTGCAAATTAAGTTCAGGCCAGC